TGTTATTGTTGTTCCCAAATATCTGAACTGTGCCACATTTCAAAACATCTGTTTCCTATCTTTATGTCATGATTTTGCCCGGCATTTTGGTGACGAGACAGCAACATATACTTAGTTTTCTCTGTGTTTACTTCTAGACTAACCTCTTTACTTGCGTCAATTAAAGTTTGTGTGTTTTTCTTTATGGTATCTGCATTCTCACCCAGTACTCGAAGCACTTTTGCTGTAAATAATATCTTATCCTTCCGCTGACTCGGTGAGCACTCCGGTTTGATTCAAACCAAATTCTAACTTTCTGTCCCTCTTACGGTCAAACCGTGTTATCTCTGTAAAAGGATTAGCTACAGATTGGACGCTCGGAATTCAATTTCCGGCAGGGACGTTGGGACGTCTCTCTTCACCTTCGCGTCCGGAATGCCCTTGTCTCCCACCCCTCTCTTATCAAGCGGGTACAAGAGCTCTGGATCAGCGACGGCTCTTATTAACACGGTAACGAACCTTCGGGTTTCATACAGTGCTGTAAGTTCCTGACGTAGCTGTTAACTTCTCAAAGCGGACTCATCTCCATTAGGTTATAGTACAGTGTTGCGTCATATTACAGTGAGACTGTTTCCCTTCTGCGCATTACGACCGTGATGATCACATTGCCGCGATCAGCGATTAGTTTAGTTAAGCACAGGGACAACTTTACCTTTCCTTATTTGTTCAGAAAAGTGAGGCTTTGAAGATGGTAAATATGTGCCCAAAAATGTCCACTTTGTAACCGCTCCAAAGAGATGTATCTCCATGGCGTTAGTTTGGGGCGTGTCGTACCGTCTTGTCCCAGAGAACTGCAGCAACCAAGTACGTGTACAATGGTCCATATACAGTTATTCCCACATCCCAGTGCAATTAGCATGAGATCAACATCGCTGCTGCGACAAGAGAGCTAATCCTGTCATTAAATCGGCCTTTTGTTTTCAGCCTCTTATGCCTGCCCGTAATTGGTACTTACACGCCGCTTCATTGTTTAGAGTCACGCACCTCCCATCTCCGCCCCCTGTGCTGGATTCGTATATGACCCTACTATACGAGAATTTTCGCGTGGCTTAAATGTACCTTAAAAGTTGCACTAATATTTTGAGAGTTGTACAATGCTTAAAAGGCGTCGAAGTAACCGGGGGAGGGGGAGGTTCATTTTCAGTAATCTAACCAGTATCTTTCACAAAAATTCTGATCAAACTACATCGTTCGGCTATTTCCGGCTCCACTCGGGTTTATTCGTACGCCTTTCTCACCAAGCCAATCCTGCGCATGCTCAGATGTTTTAGTCCCGTTAAATATGACTAGCACATGTTTAGCGTCATTCGCAAGTTTCTTCAAAATGTCAGTGTTCTGTAGGTTTGATGATGGTGGTTCAGTCACCACCCCCCTCACACACACACACACACACACACACATCAAAGCAAGTGGAGACTTCGTTCAAATTAAATTATTCGGTACCTTCCGAATAGGAGGGCACGAGGTAGCGTAGTTGGTTGAGGCACTATGCTTTAAGCCGGTAGGTCGCGGGTTCAAGTCCCGATGGGGTCACTGGATTTTTTCAGTTGACCTAATCCTTACAGCCGCACTATGGCCCTGGGGTCGGCTCAGCCTCTAACAGAAATGAGTACCAGGAATATTCTTGGAATGTTCTTGGGGGTAAAGGGCGGCCGGCGCGTAGGGCTGACAACCTTACCGCCATCTGTGAGCCGACTGTCTAGAAAATGTGGGAACCTCAACATCTCACAACCCTATGGGCCTCCACGGCCTGTTACAGGGATAGCTTTACTTTACTTTTACCTTCAGAATAGCTTCGGCTTACTCGTGTGCTTCTTCTTAGGCTAACACACGGAAACTCAAGGCGAACTGTTTACATGGGCCAACCGTCCAAATCTTATTGCAACATTAGAATATTAAATACCGTGGCCACTTGCCAACAAAGTACCTCCTCCAATATATATAAGAGTAATTTTTTATTTTAGGTTTAAATGTTTGAAATTCGAATATCGTGTATATATAAATATAGTTCGGGTTTGGTATTAAGTTCAATGTTTGTTGTTTTTTTCGCGGAATTCACTCGTGGGCCCCACAGGGATGTTCGGCAGGCAGCGGGTTGCTCATCGCTGTTTTAAGGGATAATTATTTCAGAAATATGGATCTGGTCTCAAACTTATTTTGTTGACTGATTTATACTACGTACTGAGTACCTTTAACCGTAGTTTCATAAAACTAAGCTCTGTTCACATATCTACAATGTAACTTTAGCAAATTACTGATCTCTTTTAATTATTTTCATTTTGTATCAAATGCGGTAAACGGCTCCTGTCCCGCGCATGCAAATCTTTAACTTGACGCCTAGTAACTGATTCCTTCAATTTAAATTTATTTACACTTTACAATCTGTTTAACGGGTTCACACTTGAAGACGGGTCACAAATTCAAGTGATTCCCATCACGTTAAGTCCTTGTAGAGTGGCAAGTGTCCAAAACTGTTTACAAATTACAAACACCACACATCAAAACCCGAGGAAGGACTCTGATCTCTGATGAGACAGACAAAGGAACCGGAAGGGATTAACAAGTGACGGGACTCATCGACTACTGCATGACGATTATTATTATTATTATTATTATTATTATTATTATTATCATCATCATCATTAGAAGGTCCGTGTAGGCTAAAGAGAGGCTTATACTTTCTTCAGAATTCTTCTAAAACATAGTGAGCACTACTAATTAGCATACATAATTCGAAGTTCTCGCTTCAGGAAGTATGCTGATTGGTGTTTTTTTTTGGATGTGACGCCCTGTAGTCTGGTAGAAGTTTACCAACGTTTTGGAGGAATGTGCTTCTCCAGGACGCAGACAGAAGGTTCCTCTAAAAGTCAGTAAACATCTACCAGACTATACGGCATCACATCCCAGAAGATACGCATCGCCCAGAGAATCTCCAATCAAGCACGGCTGTCTCGACGCTACACGGGCTGAGCTGTCAAACTGCTAAGGAATCAGCACCACACTGTGCACTGAAGTCTACAGTTCTGTACCACACAATATCGCGTGGAGAACAACCGATGCACATCATAAGCAGAAGGAAATAAACTGTGGAATAAAAACACTGTCTACAGCAGTGGTTCTCAACCGTTGTCAGTCCGTGGCCCGGTACCCGGCGGCTGGGAAACGGTGGTTCCTGTCCAACAATTTCACTACAAACACCTTCCAACTAAAATCTCCGTGTGGCACTGAAATAGTGTGATTTTCTTTCCATGTAATACACTACCCACCCTAGCATTTGTACACACTACGGTTCATGCTCATAGCTAATAAGCAAAACCATACTGAGGTTTCTGTTCACTGGTGGCACGGCAAGCACACGGTGGTGAGTTCGCGAACTTCACTGTCACACTTCAGCACTGACAGTAACAACTGCACAAAGCATTTCATTTCGGATAAGCCTACTCGGGGAAATAGGGTGCTTCAAATGTTTCTGCAGAGGAAGTGATCTTGTTTGGGATCACGTATTGTTTTCTCAAACGCGTCCCTAATCTAAAAGACATGTTATCTATTTGAAAACTTTATGAGTCGAGGCCTACTGTGGGGACTGTCCTCTCCAGCCATCAGCAAGACTGTACAAGGGCACAAAGCGGAACTTGCACCCTCTGCTTAGGAGGAACTGAAAACTCATTATCAAATGGAGTGCAACATAATTTGAAACCCTCCTTCTTGAGAATCCTTAACCTGATTTTTTTCCCCCTGTAAAGTTGGCTGCTGGATAAACTAAACATCTGTTGCTGTCTATAATTTTCTGACACATTATTTGGGGAAGGCAAAGTGCGAAACAGGTTTAGGTGTCACGGGCATACACAGATACGCGTTAAATATTCTGATGTCATTTATTCTTAATGTTCTATTTAGCACGGCTTTTACCACGGGAGGGAAGTAACTAATTACGCTTGTCAGTAACATGTGAGGTCACGTTTCACAATAATTTCACCGAAAATATTCAATCTTCGAAAAAAGCAATGTGTTTTATTTTAACGGGTTGAAACAAGTCAACCGGAATGTATCGAAATGTGACAGTTCGAGGACCGCAGTTTCAGTAACAGCGAATAGAAACTATTAAAATTATTTTCGATAAATTTTATACATCCTCCCCTATATCTGCTCCTAATTTAAATTCAATCATTCTGTTCAACTCTAACCAAAGATGTTCACATTTTCGTTTAACAGCAGTTCTTAATATAAACAAAAAGACACACACGCGAGTACTGCGACTTACGTACATTCTAGGCACAAAACGTCGACATACCACAATTCTGTATAATGCTAATATAAGTAACAAATAATTAAATATAAACATTGTAAGTAAATTTTTCGTGCATACGTCACAAACTGTCACCAAATGGCGGTCTTTTTGTAAGCAGATTTCGCCGAATTCCGAACCATACTATGTACAAGAAAAACGTCCAGTACAATCTCATTTGTGATAAGGCATGTCCAAACTTTATTATACAGAGAGAGTAATCGATTAGAGATAATGTGGACATAGCCGGAACCCTAAAATATCACTGACTTCAATATTTGTATAGCGTTTAGCTGATCAGCTGTTATCAGTGGAATGCTTAAATGGCATATATTGTAATGGTAAGAAGTACATGTCAGGAAATATGCATATCAAGAACTACGGTTTTGACTTCGGAATTACTACAAACTTCTCCCCATACGTATAAAACAATTTTACACGAGGGACATGCGGTTATTGTTTTAATCTAAAAATCGTGACTCCTCATTTCTCGGAGAATGCCATTTCAGCACAATTAAAATGTAACTTCATGAATGAAAACAATTAAATGTGCCATTTAAGAAAACGTTCCTTAAATAACAATATAATTAGCCTCAATGCGACAAAAAATATAAGACCTTCACATTGTATCAATGACACAAGTGGCATGAAAACAATTTTAAGATAAACAAATTACCTGAAAAATGTAAACTGTTCCTTCCGCTTTGATTCTGCCTCTGTGTAGTCGCTGCTGATGTATAACAATAGATGGTTTAATTAGTTTCTGTATCTCTGATAAACAGCCAGGTGTTTACACTTAGTGAAAGACAAAACAACACTCCCATTAACCGCACTACTCCTCATGCCGTGATACACGGAAATGACCAACGGGCGCTTGTGACCTTGGTATATAAAGGTGAACAATCGTTTGAGAGAGATTATTAATACTAATATAAAAATAAATATCACTATTTGTTTCCTTGTTGTTACTGATCAGATAACCCGATAGCAACGTCTCTTACTTCTAGTAAAACTAATTTTTCTTTGACTTACATAGTTCATAATCAGTGAGTCCAACCAAAGCATATAATCCTACCATTAAAATGTGACGTAACTTAAAATTCCTTACGTCCGATATGTTGGTACTACTGTGAACGATAATGCACTGGAACTTTGTAGTCATGGCAACAAATGTAGGTACATAAATGGAGTATATGCAAATAAATATTTATTGGAATCTTCAGTGTTTTCTTGTGTGGTGTATATAACTTCAACCTTATCCTTCTATATAAACGGAAAAATGAATCATACGTAAATTAATCAAAGCAAATATGTGTTTAATTAGTTCGTTATTCGAATAAACGTTTAAGCAAATACACCATAACCAATATATATCAAGGACGCAAATTACTTGCTAGTACTAGGTCTGCATTAAGAAAATGTCACTCGCTTCAAGATCTTGGAATTACTGGAGGTCGACACTCTCATCTATCCCATTCAGGCGGAATTTCGTACATCAGCAGTCTGAACCAGCACATGAGTTTGATGTGATTGTTGTTGGTGGCGGTCATGCAGGAACAGAAGCCTGTAGTGCTGCTGCCAGAATGGGTTGTAGTACCTTGCTTATAACCCATAAGAAGGAAACAGTAGGTAAGGTCACATTTCAAATCATGAAATTACTTGACAATCTGTTTCTTCAGGAAAGGGCCGCATTTTGTGTTTTGTGTGACCTAACCATTGCAGATCATCCACCACCTCTTTCTCATTCTCGCTAGTCCATCTGGACAACTGAAACTGCACTTCTGCCGAATTTCATAAATGTAATCAACTGAACATTACAGAATATTTCCAAGATGAACCTCGAAATATTTCAGAGTTTGAGCTTCGCCTGCTATTTTAAGTACTGAATTGACACCCATTGTGTTTGGCAATCATGAAGGGACAACAAGTATATCTGCCGCACCACCTGAATTACTACACCATTCACACAAATCCTCGTGTAACTGAGCCTGAGTAATATGATCAGTAGGGCTTAGAATTTAGACGCCAACAGAAACAAGAAGGAAGACGGGAAGTGGAAGAGGCTGGAACATCCAGATGTAACCCACCCAAACCATTGTTACTTTTCATTCTAACAATTCATAACATAATGGGACCGATGTATTGTACCTATCCTAACAAGTTCGAGTGTGTAAAACCTTTGATGACATTATTACTCACTAAAATTAATTAATATTGAATAACTTGACTAATGACAGAGTGGAAATATGAAGGAAATGAGAATGTTTGTTATTCCACATTTATGTCACATGCACTTATTATGCTTTCCCTTTCTGGCTTTTATACACACGCTATAGGAGTATACAGTGTGGCTGCCTCCTACATGAACTTCTGCTGCATGTTCTTAGTCACATGCATCTATAATTCCTCTTGGCCATGATTGTTATCTTTCATTATAGGAGAAATGTCATGTAATCCTTCATTTGGTGGTATTGGAAAAGGACATCTCATGAGAGAAGTGGATGCTCTTGATGGCATATGTGGTCGAATGTGTGACTTATCAGGAGTCCAGTATAAGGTAAGCTGTAATTATTGTGGATAAAAGTTACTGAATGTCCATACTGAGAGTCCAGATAAGTGCTGTGTCATGAGTGAAGCCCCAGTTGAAAACAACGTTTGTGGTCTGCAGCACTTACGTAATAATCATCAAGTACTTAGAGAAAACTTCCCCATTGCCAATTTAACCACTATAAACCTCCCACATTTACACATCTCAAGTAACAGACCATGTCAAAAATGACTGTGTTGTATCAGTGAATCAACAATTGTTATAAATCATTAGAGAACCATTGTGAGTTATATAAATAGTTCAAGTACTATGCTGGAAGCTGCTGCATCTAGGCATTTTTTGTTTTCATGTTATCATCCATGGATCGTATTATGGTTATTCATGGAAGAACAAATTAATTACAAATTTAGGATCAAACTAAAGCTTTTAGAGGCAACATGCCCTGTGTTCTGAATGACAGCAAAAGAAACTGAACAAATATGGATGCACAGTAAAAAAGTAATGCAATCCCTGTAACAGACCATGGAGGCCCATAGGGTTGTAAGACATCAAGGCTTCCACATTTTCTAGACAATCGGCTCACAGACGGCGGTGAGGTTGTCAGCCATACGCACCAGCCGCCCTTAACCCCAGGAAGATTCCTGGTACTCATTGCTAGAGGCTGAGTTGACCCCAGGGCCATGGTAGAGCTGGAAGGATTCCACTCCATGTAAAAGAGTCCCAGTGTCTAATTAATTAATCATTACTCCATGAAGATGTATAGGAGATGTATAGATCCACACATTCTTCACCTCAGCACTAGTTCTGTCCACTGCGTGTCAAGGATGTATATGTATCAAGCTTGGGCAAACAATATAAGCTTCTATGTTTAGGACTGAACTCATTACAATGTGTCCCAATTGTAAGAGATGTACTACCTAATAAAATATGCTTTAATACAATGTGTGAAACTTTGTTCTATTGAGAATTCAATAAACTTATATATTTAAAAACAAAACTGAATTTTGTTTGTAATTTTTCCATTATATCTTCCACACTTATTAAAAACAAATTTGGCTAACTCTTAAAAAGAAAAATATTATTGTTGAAATCTGTTGTGTGCAGTTAACACTGCAGGCACCAGGATGAAGATTTTACTCTTCTAAGCAGTTAACCTCCAGAAAATTTCCAACTCTGCTGCAGTTGAATTGGCTGTCATAAAATAAATTACAGAAGAATATAAACATAGTTACTAATCAAGGTAAGAATGTTGATGACAGGTTATTTGGAAACACTCCATTGTTTTCAGTTATGTAGCAGTATGAATATGAGAGGTAAAAGTAAGTAAGTAAACCTATCCCTGTAACAGGCCGTGAAGGCCCATAGGGTTGGACCATAAAATCCGGCCCTCGCACCGTGACCTTCAATGATCTATTATTCCCTTTGGATTAACCCTTTAATAATCCTACACTTCAAATGAAATATAGGACTATATTTATGGGGGTGTGATAAAAGTCACTTGGCTCCAATAAGAACTGACCCAGGTGGTGAAATCTTAAGTAAGCTATAGCCTCACAATCACATAAGATGTGTGTGGCTGACTCGTCTTCTTGTGGGCACCTTTCGTAAGTTGGGTCATCTGTCAGTCCCAGTTTGAAAAGGTGCCCTTTTAGGTGGCAGCGTCCAGTAAGTAATCTCATCTTAATAATAATATGCATTAAATGCAAAGCAGTTAATTAGTTTTGTGTTATATAAGATTTTTAACCACTGTCATACAGTTACTAATGTAGCACACCCTGATGTATACTTCAGGTTTTAAACAAGAGGAAAGGCCCAGCTGTGTGGGGTCCACGTGCACAGATTGATAGAGTTCTGTATAAGCAACACGTACAGCAGGAGTTATTCAGAAACACCCCCAACCTGAAAGTGATGGTTGCATCTGTAGAGGATCTGATGACAGAGGAGGCAGTGAACATTCAGAATGAGCAGACTGTGAAGCAGTGCTGTGGGGTTCTGCTGAGTGAGTGTATATATCATATCAGTTGAAGTGAACTGGTGTCACAATCTGTATATTCCTTAGCCTCAGTTAATTTTTTCATATAAAATAACAATCATTTAGTTTATGTACATTGTTGCAGGAAAGGCTTGTGCACTTCTTTATAATGTGGGAGTTATCAAAACTATATTCTTTTTTGGCCCAAAGACCCTGCTTTGCATCCTTAGGCTACAATACTGGGGCCCCACTCACAATGATGTTCTCTAAAACTTCATTCCTCCATAACTGAAAGAAGAGGAAGTTCACTTTTGAAACACAAAACACATTTTGCAGACACTTGTATTTCATGTCACACACTAATATTGTATAGAAACTTAATAAAATGAATTTGGGGTTTATGTAATGCTATGGTTATAATGAATTGATAAAGGTAAAAGGTAAAGTTGTCCCTGTGCTTACCTAATTAAGCACTACGCCATGAAGACGTATGGGGGAATGGATGTAGAGATCCATTATTTTCTTGACCTCGGCACTAGCTGGAGGTGAGTGGTGAGCTTCACACCCCGGCCGCTTTACACCCGGTACCAATTGGATAGGAGCCAGTCTGGAAGATGTGTAGAATAGAAAATTCTTGACCCTACAAGGACTGAAACTCCAACCCCTAGGTCGTCCAGCCCATAGCCAGTCGCTATACCAACTGCACTACTGGTACACACCAAAATTAAATTCACATCACAGTTTTCAAATTTCCCCGGAATCCATCAAGTAGTTTAATGATGATTTAAAGTTACTAATTATTTATACTCTTACTCATATACTTATGGCAGAATTGTAACTGAGTTGACGAGCTCTATCTTCAAGGATCTACTGCCCTGTAGTCTGTTGAATGTAAGCCTACACTTCGGAGGAACGTCACTTCCAGCTTCAGGGTTGAAGGGTAAGCTAAGTTAGAAGCCAACATGTAGCAGGCAGCAGACAAAGCTTTGCTTGCTGTCTGCTTAGCTTACTCTTCAACCCTGAAGATGGGAGTGACACGCTTCTCCTAAATGTCACTTGACATTCAACAGACAACACACTATTATATTCCAGATGATAGAACTCTTCATTACCACTGCTGTGAGAACCTCAAATCCTATATAATTGAGTTATCAAAATGTTTATGGAGCTTTTACATCAATAGCTGTACAGCTATTTGTAGCAGTTTATTTTGTCTTGTTAATATTCTTACGGGTATTCATTATAGATGGACAAATCAACACAGCCTCCTTATTATGCATCCATCTTATATCTTTGTGTAAAGAATGATGCAAGTATATACATTTATAACATTTTTAAAACTCTGAACATATTAAAAATCATTGCAATAATTGTGTGTTCTTTTTTGTGAACTGTAAGGTATCATCTTATTGTTTTTTTTTTCAGATGATGGTACCAAAATTGGTGGCAAAACTGTAGTACTCACTACGGGGACATTTTTGAAGGGTCAGATTTGTATTGGTTTAGATGTCCGACCTGCAGGACGGATAGGGGATGCCCCAGCTATTGGACTAGCGAACACTTTACAAAGTCTGAACTTCCGGATGGGACGACTGAAGACAGGTATGTAACAAAGCATACGTGGAGAGAACAAGACAGAAACAGTATATGCACACTATGGAGCAGTGAGACCGCATAAGACAAGGGCCCAATGTAATTGATACCAGGCTGCTGAGAAACAATGTTATAAGAGGACACAGAATTTCCAGAGGCTCTGAACTTAAACTTTGACAATGAAATGTTAATTAATGAACTAACGGTGAGTGAAATAGTTTACCTATAACTGTTTCCTACACCATTATGACTGTTTGTATTATCAGTATGTTGGTTCTTATGTAATTTCTGAGTTTCATTACTATGGCAGTTGTGACTTTCTAACATTTTGGCTGCCACCATATAATTAGGATCCACAACATGGATCTCTAATTTATCCCACTTTTATGATGCAGTCACAAAATTTACAAACATTAAATCTTTTGTACCCATAATATGAAATTATTCCTGAACTCAAACATGTTAGACCATTAATTGCCCCCCAAATTACAATGACATGCCTGATGAGGTCTAGAAAGCAGTAAATTTTAACTCTAAACTGAAAGAAATCTTAAATGGAAGGCATTTAAATTTAATTTATTGACTCAAAATCATTAAAATTGAACTTTAAATGAGCAAGAACCTTGAACTGAGGAACATTTTCTGTATTAAGATATGGTATTTAGATTATATGTTTATTAGTGAAAGATGTTTGTTACCATGAATCCGTTTGCTCAAAAAATTATATTCTCTAAATGAAATATTTTGCTACTACTCAGTGGCCACTTTCTCTGATCACAGAATAATGTGGGACCTAGAAGCGACAAGTCTTCGTGCAGCCAGTCTGTACAAGTATTACCTTCAACAGCAGTAGCCATGATGTCTACACAGTGGCAAGACATCTGCTATCCCTTTTCATAGTCTATAGTTATTCTGCATTATGGCCATCTCTTGCATACTCACTGGAAATCAGCAATTTGAGATGGACCCAGCACTGCTCTATGATATGATATATAAATGTTGTTTTCCTGACCAATCTGTTTTACAAAACAAATACTCTGGTTAGCTTCTTAACCTGTACAAATGAGATGCATGTATGTAAAGGTAAAGTTGTCCCTGTGCTTAATTATGCATCAAGCCCGGAAGGTGTATAGGGCAGCAGAGATATAGCTCCACCATTCTTGACCTTGGCACTAGATGGAAGTGAGTGGTCAGCTTCATGCCCCAGTCACTTTACCCTGGGGAAAGAGTCCCCAGCACCCACTGGATAATAGGCTGGGTGGGCCTCAAGAGTTGGACTGGATGTTGTGGACTAGAGAAAAATTTCATACCCCTGTCAGGAATCAAACCTCAGCTCTCCAGCCCATAATTCATCACTATAGTGACTGAGCTATTCTGACTGCTGGTGCATATATGTACTTATGTATTATGTACTCCATGGATACCCCTTCCATAACTGTTGCTTAGCATATCTCACCTTCCAGAGATTCTCTCTCTCTCTCGTGCTTTCTAGGTACCCCACCACGGCTGGATGGTCGCAGCATTGACTACAGTGTCTGTACTGTCCAGGAAGGAGATGATCCACCTGTTCCATTTTCATTCATGAATGATACTGTCTGGATTAAGGTAACAACTCCACACTTTCATTTATTTACTGATTCTGTTTCTTCTCCCATGCACTAAATATTAACGATAAATGTATGGTATGCATTTTCAGGAGCTGATGTGGAGCTTTGGCAATAAAGCTGATATATCTTAATTTGTTGTCACTCACTCACTCACTCATGGAACTGAGCCCTTCTGGAGGAGCCGCCAACTGTGCGGCTACTCAAGAACTTCCCAGCATTTTATGGAACCCAAAGGTTTATTGCTGTGTTCACAAGAGCCCTCCACTGGTCCCTATCCTGAGCCAGATCAATCCAGTCCATGCCATCCCATCCTATCTCGCTAAGATCCATTTTAATATTGTCCACCCACCTATGTCTTGGTCTTCCTATTGGTCTCTTTCCTTCTGGCTTTCCCACCAATATCCTCCATACATTCATCTTCTCCCCCATTCTTGCTAAATTTCTCCTTGACTTGACCATTCTAATTATACTTGGCAAAGAGTACAAGTTATGAAGCTCCTCATTATGTAGCGTTCTCCAGCCTCCTGTCACTTCATCTCTCTTTGGTCCAAATATTCTCCTCAGCACCCTGTCCTCAAACACTCTCAGTCTATGTTCCCGCCTTAATGTCAAGAGACCAAGTTTCGCACCCATACAGAACCACAGACAAAATGATAGTTTTATGTATTCTAATTTTTATATTTTTAGACAGCAGACATGAAGACAAATGCTTCTGGACTGAATGGTAGCAAGCATTGCCTGAATTCAGTCTCTTCTTAATTTCTTCCTGAATCACATTTTGATTTGTTGTAGTCATTCCCAAATATCTGAACTGTGCCATATTTTCAAAACATTTGTTAGCTATCTTTTTGTCATGATTTGTCCCTGCATTCTGGTGATGAGACGGAGTACTATTGTTATATTGTTTCTGTTGGATTCATGGCAAGTGAGAAAAAATATCTAAAGTATAGAAATATCAGATTTTTGCCATTTTACAAATCACAGGTAGGAATCCAAATTCTTTTTATGACAAACACACAAAATGTTAATTGTAATAATTATGAAGTGAGAGAAGTCACTACTTCTGATATGAAATTAATTGCCCTAATTAAGACCGACAATAAATATGCTTTACATGAGAAAGGCTGGAATTATACCCAATCTCAGGTTAACCATACGACCTAAACAGGTGGAGAGCTTTGCGTGCCTTGATCACCTCCTGCTAGCAAGAGCAAAAGCTTCTGGTCAAGTCACCCATGCAGACAGGTCAAAGAATAAGTATCAAACAAAACATAACCCTTGCTTCTCCCATGTGAGGACAGGGCATGAGGCCAACAACTTCACCTCAGAAAGCAATATATGTAATTATGGATATCAGATAAAAAAATGGGCATCTGTCATAAAAGAAGCCACTGTTCTTGGAGGACTCTATAGAGCCAAGAAGTTAGCTCTAAGTGGGATGACTCTTCTGCCTCAGCCTGACTGTTGAACACTTTAGGCTGCTGGCATGCTGTAGAGATCCTCATCTGGTAAAGTTGTCCCTATGGTAAATTAAATGCCATGCCATGAAAATGTATGATAGAATGGAGGTATAGATCCATGAAATAGGAGGTGAATGGTCAGCTTCACACTGCAGCCTCTATAACCTAGATATGCACTGAATATGAGACTGGGTGGATCCCAGAACAATTCTTGATGCTGTGGAGAATAGAAAAATCACTTGACCCTGCTGGTAAGCAAACCCTTATTCCTTGGTTTTCCAGCCCATACCCTAGTCACCATATCAACTAAGCTATTCCTTCTCCAGGATTGGTAGAGATAAGCCATAACCTATGATGTTTCTCTGTACAGTGCTTTAGAGCACCTTATTGAGCATGATGCCTACAAACACAGTTTGTATCATAAAATGTTACATCTGTTTTTTAGGCCGAAGATCAGCTGAAGTGCTATCTCACATATACAAATTCAGCTGTTCATAAAATCATCTTAGATAATCTTCATGTGAACAGACATGTCAGAGAAGAGGTCAGAGGCCCTCGTTACTGCCCATCCATTGAATCTAAAGCATTAAGGTATGTACACACAGGATTACAGTAAAGGAGATAAGTTTGATGCAATGGGTAGGGCATGTAGCACGAAGTGCATAGAGGATATTGGTGGGAAAGCCAGAAGGAAACAGACTAAAGGTGGGCAGATAATTATCTGCCCACCTTTAGTCTGTTATAATATTATGTGTATCTTAGAGAGACAGGGTGGAGTAGTATGGGCTGGATTGATCTGGCACAGGATAAGAATCAGTGGAAGGTTCTTGTGAACAAAGTAATGAACCTTTGGGTTCCATAAAATTTTGGGAAAATCTTAAGTAGCTGCACATGTGGCAGCTTCTCATGAAGGGCTCAGCTCCATGGAGTGAGTTAGTTTGTTGATTAGTATGATGTCTGTTTCAGTTTTTTCTTTTTGATGTTTCTGTTCAGGTTTGGAAATAAGAATCACCAGATATGGTTGGAACCGGAAGGGTTTACAAGTGATGTGGTCTATCCCGGTGGTCTCTCATGCACTCTTCCAGAGGAATTACAAGTCAAAATGATCCAACAAATTAGCGGATTAGAGAACACCACAGTCCTTAGGCCGGGTTATGGGGTGGAATATGATTATGTGGATCCACAGGAACTGAATCCTACGTTAGAAACTCACCGTATCAGCTGCCTATTCTTTGCAGGACAGATCAATGGCACTACAGGGTATGAAGAGGCAGCAGCTCAGGGGATTATAGCTGGAATCAATGCTGCTGCAAAGGTAACTAAAGAACTAAGCATTACAAACACAGTCATGTAAGATAATATATGTGGCTGGACCAAGTAATAATTTGCAACTTGATAACTAAATGCTAGTCTTAAATATAAGTCCTAGCATATGTGTGTCCGTGTGCATGTGAGGCAGTATGAGCAACATGCAAGTGTCTGTATGTGTGAGTGTGTGAACTCATGTATGTATATGAAAGTCAATGTGTGCAGAAATATAATAAACACAGCAGCTGTTACATAAAATTCACAGGTATAAACATAACAAAGAGTATAGAAATGCATATTATATGCTGGTGTAAACTGAAAAGCAGGAATTTTCAGATCTGCCACTGACTGACTGCACAAAAGCTTTACTTCAAAATGTTGAATTACCCATCTGTACAGTTAATTTAGCTGGAAATATTATCTCGAAATTTATGATCTCTATATGTACAACACACAGTTTAAATGACTAAGATTACTTTCCTCAGGCACAAGGCAAGCCAGAATTTTGTATTGGACGCACAGAAGGCTACATAGGCGTGCTGATTGATGACCTTACCACACTAGGAACAAATGAACCCTACAGAATGTTTACGAGTAGAGCTGAGTTTAGGCTATATCTGCGCCCTGATAATGCAGACCTTCGACTTACTGGTAAAGGTATGTTATTCACCATCTTTAATTTTGAAGAACTGAAAATAGCCATATTGATATTGCTCTCCAAGAGAGAAGATACAGCAAACTTCAGTAATTGTAGGAGAATAAATTTTTATGTACAATGTATAAAATATGTGCTAAAAATATAGCAAGAAGAATTGGAACAATAGACCTATTGATATCGAAACAGTGAAATGGGTTCAGAAAAAGCCACTCTTGCGCTGACAGTACTTTTATTATTCAGCAATTAGGTGTACAGCTGAGGAACATGCCTCTTGTTTCTAAATTAGATTCTGTTCTCCATAATAAACTGTGGGGAACTGTGATAAATAGAGGTACACCAAGTCATCTGATAAGAGTGCTACACAGTTTGTAATAATGGCTTTTAAATGAAAACATTCTGTAAAGTCAAAAATTGTTATGTATGATAAACCTAGTGAGCATGTAAACTGTTTTTAATTACCTAAGATATACTATTAAGTTTTTCAAAATAAAAATTTGGAAATGAATCTGAGTAAATTTAACCACATATGTGGATGATAAGGACAGCACTGAATAAAAACACAAGGAAACACAGATTAAATTTTATAAAACTGTGGCAATCACAGCTTTAATGTACACCTCTGAAACATGAACATTGACAAGAAAGCAAGGCAAAAGCTAGAAATGAACAGAAATTAAATATCTTAGAAATGTGGTGGGATAGGCATTGAAGGATCAAATTAGAAAGACAGTGTTAGAAATGAACAAAATATATAAACGTAAAAAAAAGGCAAAATTGTCCCTGTACTTAATTAGTTAAGCACTATGCTATGAAGGCATACAGGGAGTGGAGGTGTAGCTCCACCGTTCTTGACTTCAGCACAATTTTAATAATAGTACTCAGAATAACTGGATTCATCATCTTGAAAAACTAGAATCTGAATGCATTCCAAAACAGTTAAAGTATTGTACTCCTAGAAGAATAAGATCCACTGGATACCTGAAGTTGTAGCGGCCTCCGTAGTCTAAGAGGTAACGTTCCCACCTCATGACTCGTAGTACGCGGGTTCAAATACCCGGCGGAGGTCGTCGAATTTTTAAGGGTGGAAAAATTCAAGGAACAAGTCCTCCAGGAGGGACTTTAAGCCGTGGGTCCTGTGTCGTAGCTTTACAGCACATAAAAGAACCTCATATCTCAAAAGGAGGTCACTGAGCCAAATTTATGGACGTTTCCCGCCCAACAGCAGTCTCTAATACCTCTGGTAGATGGGGGAAGCATTATAGATACCTCTCAGCTAGTAGAGCCGGTCTCGCTGGCTGGGCGGGACTGATGGTAAGCACCAGTACCGGTAAGATATAGAGACTGCTAGAAATCATAGAGGGAAGCACAATGGACCAATACAGGTCTAAGTGCATGGGGAAACCCACCCTCTCCAATAACTAACTAACTAACTACCTGAAGTTGTTCTGGAAGGATAAACTTACCTTACAGAGGAATCGAATAACTGCAAGGTCCAAACCCTGATGGTGGCAGTGGCGGTGGCAGCAACCAGGAAGATGATGAAGCCCACATAAACCCTACTATATATATAAAGCTTAAATTAAATTTAACTGATTCTTTCAATGGCTTATGTACAAGAACTATGGACACAACAATATATAACTTTCATTTACAGTGTTGTACAAAAAAATACAAAATTTGTGTGTTCATAGTATGAATAGCTTTACACTGGTAAATTTGAACCTGCAGCCCACATTTATACATAGGTCGTTTCCCTCTATGTTGCTGGAGACAACACATAGTTACAGTATAAAATGAAGCTTATGACACTGACATGATGAATACATTATTGGAAGGAAAGAGTGATCAATATTGATAACTGAAGTAATGTAAATCAGCACACACACATAATATTAATGACTGGAATATTCTGTTGTATAAGTGGTGATAGCATATAGCAACTAAAAGGTAACTAAAGAATATCAAAATAATTTAATTCAGAGAGATGTCCTATGTATATATTATTTAAAAGAGATCACACATTTAATTTCATGAAGAATATGTAAATTTTACATACTGCAATAAATGCAATAAGTGTCTTTATGTGTACTGTGCTACAGCACAAATGAAGTCTTCAAATCACACATTCAGTCTTCACAGGCTAACTTCTTGTACTCTTCTTCAACTACAAACTTCCAGTGGCTATCTCCTACCAAGACTGACTTGTCCCTGAACCGACCGAATCTGTCACTTATACAGCCAAGGAGCAGACATGCATATCACATGACCACCACCCACCAGTGTATGATGTCACTGCTGACATGGAAAACACAGCCTCCTCTACTGTTGCATGTTGGACCGTGTTTACAGAGCTGTTGCCTGGCAACACCTTGATGAACTCCATTACAATATTATATTTGTAATATAGCCACCATTTCTAAACGTCCTTGCTCCAGTTGTGTATTATGTAGGGTACAAGACCTTAGTTACTGCCACTAGAATACAATTCTTAACAATGTTGACTTGGTATCTGATTATCACTTTTGTAAACAGTTTCTCACAACCAAACTACTTGGAATTAGCCACTTTATGCAGTGAAGAGAGGGAACATAAATTTGATATTGACTAATGTGTTATGGTCATTCAAGATACATGAACACAGCACCAGCTGACTTTGTTTCTTTAGTAAAGAATCATGATCAAGTGGCAGCACAGATGAATTCAAAATTACTTTTTTTTTTCAAGGTTTCAAAATTGGATGTGTATCTTCAGAAAGATTTCATAAGATGTGCAAAATGGAAAAAGATATTGCAGATGGGATTGGACTCCTGAAATTGGTTGTTAAACCTGCATCTCAGTGGAGAAAGTTGTTGCACATGCCTACGTCAAAGGGGACACTGTTAAAAAGGTAATGTCACAGTTGGATACAACGGATTTCTGTTATATATATAAAGGTAAAGTTGTCCCTGTGCTTAACTAATTCAGCCCTACACCATGAAGGAGTATGGGGGAGTGGATGTATAGATCCACATTTTCTTGACCTGGGCAGTAGATGAGGTGAGTGGTCAGCTTCTTGTCCCTGGAGAAAGAGCGACCGGTACCATTGAATAGGAGGCTGGGTGGGCCTCAGAGACACTCTGGATGACGTGGAGAAGAGAAAATTCTTGATCCTACCAGGAGTCGAACTCTGACCCCTCAGTCATTCAGCCTGTAGCCAGTCGCTGTACTGACTACGCTGTCCCAGCTCCTCCTCTTATAAGGGAACAAAATTATTTAGACAGGACTGACATGATGGTGACAACCTTAGTTGTTGCGCCAAGCAGTGAAACCACTGCTGGGTCCATTGAATTTACCTTTCTTTACAGTGTTTGCAGTACGATTCCAAATGGATTTTCCAAAACAAAGATCTCATTCTCAGGAGGATCAAAGAGGCTTACAAAATCAATTTAAAAAAGAAAAAAATAGAGAAATATTTTACTGCTTGTTGCTCATGATGTTTTTGGTCATTTCATCATCAGGTCTCTTGGTCATGTCATCTCAGATATCTGTAGCTAAGCCTTTGGGTACTAAGCATTACTACACTATGAAGATTACAGTCTTTTGAGGTGTGATGCTGTACAGTCCATTAGATACGAAGATGGAAGCTGCACTTTCCCCCCAAAATAGCAGTAAACATCTACCAGACTACACAGAGTCAGATCCCAGGAGACAGTAGTCTTCAAAGTGACCACTGAGAGAACCTCAAACCTCACGTATTTACACTCTGTTTGTTAGTGCATTTGACATTCTGTCAGTCAGCCATGATGAGATCACAGTGGAGAAGCTCACAAAGGCACTGCCTGATGTGTTCTCTCAGCTGGGGAAAGACAGCAATCTGAATCAGCGCTTGAGGACTGAGGCACTATATGAGGCAGCATTAGTTGAGCAGCAAGAAGAGGTGATGGAAATCAGGCGAGATGAGGCTCTCAGAATACCCAGCCACATTGACTACACAGCGTAAGACATGCCTCTCTTACCTTACTACTTTAATGGGACTTATATTTACATATATATATATATATTGACGACTAATGCCTTGTTTCATTCATTTAGGAAATCCTTGTGTCTGTCTTCTGAGGAGCAAGAGAAACTCTCATCTGTCCGTCCACAAACAGTAAGTGGAACAAATTGAACTTCTTCTGAGAATGTGAACACTGTTGCCTCTCCTTGGGATACTATCTTGAAAGTGGAGGGGTGGGGAGCTGTGCTAGTGGGAGCATCAGCTCCTGGTAGTGTCACCCAAGCTAGTTGAGTCAAGGGATAGGGCCATACAAAAGGTACTTTCTGAGGCTGACTGCCTCACCTAAAAAGCAGTACATGTTAAGATATCTAATGACAGATGCCAAATGGATAATTTAGGGAAATGAGTAAGGAATGTTTACAATGACACTGAATTGCAGCTTGTTGCTTGGAATATACTAAGTTTACTCAGAAAAGGAACATTAATGTTGAAGTGATTAGAATGGATCAAATATGGGTGGCTAAGAAAATTCTTTAAAATAAGTCAGGAGAGTAGAAATAATTGGAAAGGCCCAGACTGGGATCAATTCTGAAGGGCTCTGATGGTGTTGTGTAACACTTGGAATTACTGGATTTTGGACTTTGTTCATTGGCCGGTATTTTAAAGAGCATAACATTTCAGAAACTTGACCTGTTTCCATCATCATGTGAGGGTGTGGGAGAGACATACTCCTAATATCACAGTTTGTCAACAAGAGATGACAGGAAAATCTACAATAAAAATTAAATATTTTTATTGCATAATGTATATACTGTATATATAGCTATAGATATACTGAAAGAGGTTATACAGTGATTGAGATCAGCTCTTTCTAACCAGACCAAGCAGAGTAGCTTTCTCCCACCCCCCTCACCTGAGGATGGAAACAGATCCAGTTTCCAAAACATTGTGTTGTTTAGAATACCAGATGATGAACAAAGTCCAAAAACCCAGTAATCCCCAGATTGTGATGGCTGGGTGATATGGAGCTCAAAGTGAAGAAATGGAAGACAGAAGAAAATAACAGAGAAGAATAGACATCTGTTGTAGAGGAGGCCAAGGTTCTTAGGGAACCATGGAGCCAAGGAGTAAGTATGAACCCATCTGCTGAACATGGTAAATTAATTTGAAGCACATGAACTACAAATCCCAACAAAGGAATTTCTAAATAAGCAGAAAGTGTAAATTATGCTTTTTTTAAAGCCACTGTATAAAGGTAACATTTCAATGGATCCAGCAATAGCTTCTTCACAGTTATTTGCCACTTACATGTCACACAACAAAAATTGATTTCCTAAATAATCCTTTGCAAAAAAAAGCACACAGTTTTTCAGTTATCACAAAAACCTCACTATGTGGTGCTGCTTGCTTGGAAGTTGTACATCATTCTAAGTTTCATGTTTTAGTAAAGATTTAATGAGAAACTGGGGATGTAATTACTTTAATTACTGGAATGCTGTGTAAATGAAGGGAAACACTTAAGTTTTTGGAATACATTATAGCATGTTAAGTTTTTTTTAAACTCACTGTGTTACTCTGTTACATAAATGTCAATTTGGCAGATCTTGGATTGGAGATCAGTTTTATCTAACACTGATTTTACTCAACCTCTTGACACAGTGAAAATATTGTGAATATAAGAAACATCAGACATTTTAAACTGTGAGTCCCCTAGCAAAGGCAGAAATGTATCTTGTGTGTGCTTTCACTTCTGACATACAGTAATACATTCCCCAGATAAACACTTACTAACCACGAACCATTAACATTAAAGGCAATTCATCTGAGAAAGTACTGCTTCAGTCTTACACTTCTTTCCTATGTTTTCAGATAGCAGCTGCTAGTCGTATTCCAGGTGTGACACCCTCTACTCTATTGAGACTGCTTCGGCACGTTAAGTACCAAGAAGTTCAAGAAATAGCTGTATAGGTGTAATTATGCATGAGAACAAGAAATACAGGTCAAATGATGTATTCCATCATGGACATATATTCCAAATGCTTCCTTTGCTGTGTTTTGAGACTTCAATATAAAGTAATGAGCCATGTTATTCAAGGGCAAAAGTTGAATTAGGTTCATAAACCCTAATAAAGACCTTCATAAAATGTCATGAAACCATAACTAAGTTGATGGAAGTTTTTTTTAATCCCTAGGTATCCTGAAAAGCTCGTGGTTTTCCTCAGTCCAGCAATGTAAATGCTGGGACATACATTATCATGACTGATTCCTTCCACATCCTTCTAAATTCATCTTTCACACTTATTCTATTCTGTGCTACATAATCTATGTAGCTGAGAAAGCTGACAATCCAAATCCTTCTTAACCACTAAATAGATCACTCAGGATTGGCAACAGTGGTGGGTTCTTGCAAGCAGAGGAATGCACCTGCTGGTTTCATAAAATTCAGGGAATTTCTTTTGTAACTTAGGAACTGTACTCGTTGAGTTAGCAACCACAAAAATCAGTCACTCATATGTAAGTCTAGCCAGAACAGGATTATTTCATTCGTATAGACAAACTGAAGAAAGTGATCTTTGCAACTATTACACACATAAAAAGGCCATCTGTAGCAGGATCAGTGTTTTGCCTTCCATACCAACATCTTCTTTCAAGAGTCTGTGATAGTGTGATTATTGTTAAGGAGAGTGTTGGAAGCTCTATCTCTGACTGTCGAAGTTCCAGCTGCTGCTGTGCATTTCTACTTCATACTGGGTATAGTCTGAGGTTCCAAAAATGTCCATGACCTCTTATTGGATACACAAAATAGTGTCATGATTTGGAAACACTATATGACACTATTTATTCTATCAGTGCAGATTACTGCCTTTTCATCCCTCTATTTACCTTGCTACCAGTAACTGTCTATATTGTCACGTGATGGAGTGACTGTAGACAGGATTTACTGCACACTACAACTAGTTATAGCATTAGCACTGATTCACACTCTACACTTCTCAGTCTTGTATCTTCACTGGTTGTCACCTGGTAATGGCGTCCAGCGCTGTAGTTTCCTCAATTTCTGTGTTCACTTCTTTATTGGCCAGTGACTGTCTCACAACTCCCATCTCAAGATTGTCTTGTGATGAAGTCGAAGTTATGTTATGACTGATGGTCAGTCAGCCTGTCTGTCTTCGAAGAAAGCATCCATCTGGGGCTTAAGACCAGATCTTTATTACAGTCAGACTGTTGCAGGCTTGTTCATGTGGGGCAGTCTGTCTGACAAGAGGACAGATCAGTTGTTTGCCAGAGTCACAGTCAGCAATAATGAGTCTGTTGTCAATATGTAGCTAGCGATCCCCATACCAGGCCGTGAAGGCCCATAGGGTTGTGGATGTTGAGGGTCCCACATTGTCTAGACAATCATACAATTTACATTTTACATGTCATTAAATGTATATACAATACAAGATCTCTGTCAGTCCAGGCTCGGTACAGCAGATCATGCCCTATCCTTAGTAGCTCCTGCTACAATGGCAGTCTAGTCACTTAGCTTAGCCACCAATTGTCTTGTAATCAAGTCAAAGTCACATTGTGAATGACGGTCATTCAGTCAGTAAGTCTTGGTGTCAAGCCCCATCTGGAGCTCAGGACCAGATATTTATTACTGTTTGGCAGTTACGGTCTTTTTTTTTTTTTTTGTGGGGCACCCTCTCTGACGAGAGGACGGGTCTGTCTTTTCTATATGCTGCTGGTCCTTGCCAGCGCAGTCTTTCTCGGGTCCGAGTCCCTTTGGACTTGCAACCATATTTTACTGTGTCAGATTTGAGACTTCCCTTTTTGTCACCTCCTACGACTCACAGGGTCGCAGTGGAAATACAGGGTGTCTTGTAATCACAGCTGCTCCTCATTACATAGCCTTGACACAGACCGCATAGATAACATCTCTCCCAAGTTCTATATTTGTGCCACACGGGTATCACGCAGACCATGCAGAGAACAACGGCCATTGTTTTCGGAGCCATTACCTAGCAATGGCTGTTGTACAGCTGCTTATTTCACAGTCGTTGCCTAGCAGCGGTCTACATGCCACAATATATTCCCAAATAGCTGATGTTATCTCAGTCACCTTCCTTGAAATATACCTTCTTCACTACATCTAATTTACTGCCAAATAATATAAAAAAGTAAAATGTATAAAACAGTTGGTGAAAGTGGATACTATCCAATATTAAAAAATTTTCATAAGTGCCTAAGAGGACATATTTTAAAACTCATGAGGACCAGCAAATAAATGAGACAAGCATGCAGTATGTCCCTGACTTTACTTAATATATATGTAAAGTAAATAATAAGACTGGAATTGCTGCAAAAAATGAAATTGAAATTGGCATGTAACAAAGTAATTTGACCAATAATATATGCAGATGATCACATAACGATAACAAAATCTGAGGATGGCTTACAAATTAGAACACACTAACTAAACAACACTGCGTGTTAATATGACATGGAAATGTATGCATTAAAAACCAACATATTGTTATCAGTAATGACAATGTGTGGGAGAAATATTAAAAAAGTAACAACAGAAGGAAGTGTAAAAGTAACAGAAAAAAAGATCAAATTTTGTTTATGTGAGAAGAGTAATTTCAGAACTGTAGATAGATTCTAACATAACATTACAAAAATATGTGAAATAAGTGGTATAATTACAAGAAATGTTGGTGCACAGATGTCAGTTAAAACAAAGTTATGCCCACACTACATCACATCAAGAGCTACCCTTAACCAAGGTAATGAAATTAGGATTTTCAACAAAATATTACTTCAGAGATTAGGGTTAGACAAATGTATTCCATTACCATTCAAGTAGATGAGACTTAGGAGAACCAAAAGAATGATGGACAGACTGAGATTATTTTGGGATCCAAGTCTATAAACAGGTGATCCATCACAGTTGCATGAACTTTCTGGAAAAACAAAAAAGTCAATTAAAACTGTGTAATTAAACCAATAATGTCATGTTTCATTAGAAAGGTTTGTCACTAACTACAAAATACCTGAGGAAATTTGTTGCTTGTTTCAAACACCACCAGTTCCTAGCCTCTGAACTGAGAGTGTTCAGTTACAGGATGTTCACCATACAGGAAGGACCTGAGCACAGGAAACTGAAGATTCTCCACTGACTGAAACCATTGCTAGGGAACAGCTGTTGAAAACACTGCGGGCTGGGGAAGACTTAGTGTTCGCAGTGTGGAGATAGCAGTGGCACTGTAATTCCTTGTAGTTTTGAGTTGTCAATAAATTCAATATCCAAGCCATACCCTGTCTATAGTCACACCCCAGAAACATGACAATAATTTATATGTGATGAAGTTATAGAAAAAAATATAGTCTTTCCAGCAGAAAATTCTTATTCTTTTATTATTAGTTTTTACACATAGAGCAACCAGCCACTAACACAGGCATGTTTAATCGCTCTGTTATGATGTAGTGACTTCATCGTTTGCTCTTTGGGGTGTATTTCATTTTCCAGTGCTGACCTCAGTCTTGAACTTAGGAACATCATCTCCAAAGGAAACATAGCTCCTGAAGTTATGACATCAAATACATGTACCACATACCTCTACACATAATATGTGATGTCCCCAAAGTTATAATCAAAGAGCTAGGCTTCATTAATTCTCTGAAGCCTGTAATTACATACGTTGGCAGCATTCACTAAATGTATCACTTGCCAAAGCAGTACAGACTGCAGAAAACATTTCACACAGCTCTGAAGACTCATTTTAATGTATGGAGCAGAAACATAACAGATATTAGCAGACTAACAACAGCTGGGCTAAGATATATAAAAGACTAACTAGCAGCTGAAATGAGATCTTTAAAGACGTACAGAAGGTAAAAGAACTTATGAGACATCCTCATACATTATCTACATTTTATACAATGGAAATAGATGAGGAACAATTTACATTGTCCCTCATGTTTACTCTAGAAAGGATTGAGATTGCATTCAAGACATGTAGGAAATAAACACATGAATTATTGAAATTGATACAGTACACCATATATGGCACTTTACTTATGACATTTCATACAGTTCACATAAAACTAATACTGATTAAGATTCCACACATGAATGCCGTGTGACTAATCTTCCAGTGCTGCTGAGATCACCGTTATCTGCACTAGGAATCATCATGCTAATGCTAAGTCTATGTGGTAACATCAACTGATAGGAACACATTGCAAATATCACTTTGCTCATTGAATGACGTTCATTCACATTCAAACAAAGTACAAATAAATTTAAAAAAAAAGACAGCTTTACAGTTTTTCATATTACTTAGAATGTAATCAAATTGTCTACGATTACTGAACGAAATTAAAGGAAAATGATACAACCAGAATTTGACGGTTGGAACTGAAGATCTAGTTCCAGATGGCGCTTATTAATTTCTATACAGCTGAGTTTCTATTCAGGTTTTCCTTGCTGTGTTTAGTATCTGCATCATCCTGAAATTAGAGTAGCCCTCAACATGTCACTACTACAGCTGTGTTCCTGTGCCTGCTCTCCTCTGTCTTCTGCCCGCATAACATTTCACTCTGAATCTCTGCATGCAACTTGCAGTTCCACTGTGTACAGCTTCGCACAATTTTACACTGTCATGGCAGTGCTGAATTACAAGTGTGCATGTGTAGGCCACACTGAATTAGAACAAACATCAATACAATAAGCAAACACTTAAGGCATGCATTTTATACATATTTAAATTAATGACTTAAAATATGCTTTTACTTGACTGTCCAATAGCTGATCCAATTTTGCCATGTATTACTGAAATACGCATAAAAATACATTCTATTGTACAACAGTAAAATTTAGTCTTGGACTGGCATCAGCTTAAAATTACTGACAATTTAAAATTGTCCGTCACTAATATGAAAGCAATGAAGAAGGAATGGCAACATAATTTCCTTCAATTTAAAATTTGTCTGGATGAAATAAAATCAGTCAGGTTCTTAAAGCATCAGTCTTGTTCTCTCGTCAGTAAAAATACATTTTGACTTCACTTGGTGGGACCATATTTTTGGTATTTCTTTCTTTATAATATGTTTGGTGAGTACGTATCCATTAACAGGAACCACTATATTATAACATGTAAACTTTGTGTTCCAACTAAGAATTATTCAGTCAGAATCCAATATTCAAGGATATTTCTTGCTTGGATCAGTAGCTGCTTTTGGCCCACATGAGGCTCTGCATCACATAAAATCAGTAAGAAAGTGTACAAAGAAGTTTCCTTTCCTTAGCCAGGTGGTCTCACTAATTCCCATCCTTTCTGAGGTGCTTCAACATAGGGTCTCGAGATGTGCAGACTTGGTCGAATGGTTGTTTGTGACCGAGTCTCCAAGGGATGGTGGGCCCTGTGAGTAGAGTGAGAGGTGGTGCCCCATGTTAGTCCTCTGGGTCCGCTGTTGTCGCAAACACCACAGTCTGTTTATGGCTGACCACACTTGCGGCTGACATCCAGCCACCAAAAAGATGAACACTCCCTGTAGTGTATTGATGAGATCAGTAACATACCAGATATAATGTGGACCACCTACAGCCCATGAGATCACATCTGCCACCCAAGTTAGTCCCATTACCACGACCAGCTTCAAACACACTCGACCCAGGGTTGCTCTGGAAACAAAATATTTGGTTATTAAAGATGCCCAGCACTAAGTAAACTAAATATCTCACTCTAATGTCCCTGAATGCTGGAGTTTAATGGTATGAGACTGAACCTCCTGATGGAGACGAATGCCAGTGTATCAATACAACATGTGTAATCAATCATAAGTCTCTCCTTGAAAATTCAAGAGGTCCATTATTAAATACAAAACTCTGACTGAACTACCAACATTCTTCAAGCGGCAGATCCTCTGTTATGAGTTACTACAGCAGCAGCATCAGTTACCCAAGCTACCACAGGTGGCAATGAATATGTACAAAATAATACAGCAAGAAATGTGGAAATGTAGCCAGCCATGAAGAGATGATATGCACGCTTGTAACCATGATCCAGACCACAGATGCAGCCTCTGTATAAAAATATACTCTGGACCCATGATTCTTTGCCAGAGTTATATCACTAAGCTGAACGTGTTTATCCTGGCCTCTGCCGTTTCAGTGTCACATTTTAGACCAAATGATTCTGCAAGAAAGCAGAGTGAATATGGAAAAAAGTTATGATGATTAAGAAAATGTTACAGAAATATTAACCTTTTGAGATCAGTAGTAAAAAAAAAAGGACAGACAAATAAAGCATGATTTGTCAAATGAGGGTTAAAAACGTGTTGCCATCCTAACGAAAAGAAATTGTGCCCACAGAGCTAAACACTGTACACTGTCCCATACCTCTCGGTGTTAGACTTGACCACTTCCCTCTTCCATAGGCCACATGTGAGTTCATGAGCAGTAGCAGCAAACAAGATCAAATTGATCAGCAGTAGCACACCGACTGGTCCATAGAAGTATGGAAATATCTCCACATCCCCTGGAATGTTTCATACATTTCCTGTAAGACTGGAAAATTTCAGAGCGGCAAAATATTGTGCGGGAATCTCTTTTCTGACGCAGGAACCAGTTCATTTCACAGGTCAATCATTAAACTGTACACCTCTCATTTTAGTTAAACATGCCCTTATAGAGAGATTCTCAAGTGTGACCACTGACATTTTTTTGTGAAGCTACCACCTATTTTCTTAATTAAAAAGTTTTTTGATGAAAACCTTCTACAAGACTTTGAGGTGAATTTTCTTTTTATCTAGGTATTACTAATATTTTTATATGGGTGTTCTGGGTCTGTGCCTCACAACTGCAATCCTTCACCTTCATTTCTTGAAAAACTAGTACCTCAGTAAATTTATGCACAAAAATTCTGTGTGTTTGGCTGTGGAAAACACCCAGAGAATATGCCTCATTCAGTAAGATGCTGTAAATTAAAACCACCACATTTTCCTCATGTTTTGCTTTATATAAAAAAATTAACAACAATCTTCTTTACTATATCTGTTTCATATGTACATATTCATGTGGTTTAAGTTGTAGCCACAGATCATGTTTCTAACTTTTAAATGTGACTATGAACAATTTTTTTTGAGAACCATCCTTGTCCAATTTAACTTCAGGTATGCAAAAATATTTTGAAATTTGAAATAAAAATTGTAATTACTCTGCATATGCACTCTAAATAGTAACTAACTTCAAACGGACTACATTAATGTATATGTTGGCTCTCAGTAAACTACCGGCCTACAGAAAGCAACGCTAATTTTTAATCTAAGCAACCAATTATAATTCTTTTGGCCTCACCACTGAAGATTAGCTATGGCAATGAAATAAACACAACCTGCTCATTGTAGTTTCCTCTCTTATCTTGTTCAGAACAATACCAGTAGTAAGACTTCTGTAGTGTACATCAATAAATAAATCCCATTCATCAAGAAAAGGAAAATTATTCATCTTCACAACAACGTATGTTTCAATATGCTCCAGCAAAAGTATTTAATTTCCAAACGTCAGAATTACTTGTTTCTAAGGTATGTCTGGTGAAACTATCCTTGATGTGGGAAGAGATTATCTGATATTATTTTGCATTATAGGAAAATCACTGGATGCATATTAATCTGTAATATTCAATATTAAATGAACAGTACATTAATAGAATTTATGGCTTCTTGAGTAAAATACCCAATTTGAACAAAAATAACCTCAGATAATAATTCAGTTATAGAGCAAGTTTCCAACTTCTCATCTATTTAGGCTGTAATGCCACATATAATTAAGCTGAAGACATAAGAAAATAAATAAATTTCAGACATATGTGTGGTGATTTCAAGAATGTTAAAAAGAGAAAACAGGAAAGAGGAAAATTTAAAATTTTATAAAGCTATAGCAGCCCCAGTGGTAGTGAAGCATGGCCACTGAAGAAGAGGGACTGGAATAGGAGTCAAATATCACAAATTAAATACTACACAACTGTTAAAGGTTGCACTAGAAAAGATCAATTAAGAAATCAGTATGTATGAAATGAGTTTGGTATCTTCCCTTTACATAAACATTTTACAGAATATTGAGAAAAACTGAAAATACATTTTCAAAGGATGGAAAAGATTAGCATTCTACTTCAGGCCTATAAATATCATCCATCCATCACAAGAGACATAAGAACACTCAAGAAGGTGGATGAAGACAATAATATTAGAGGCTGGAACAGGCAATTTGCCTAATCCATGAAATAATAATGATAACAACTAAATGTAGACTAATCTTGAAATTTTACCTTTCACATTTATGTATTCAACACCAATTTAATTTTTCTCACATGATTGCTTGTCATGTCAGTAGCAACAGTCACATTTCCTGCAGACAACCCTTTCGGTGTCTGGCTTACCTCAGCAGAGGGAACACTCATATGCTCGAGTAAAGCAGTATTTCAGAGTACTTGTATATCTCACTTCAGAAGTACATACCATAAAACCAACATCTCTGCTGACCAAACCGGGGTCTGAGCAATGAGGAATAGATTTCTTCAGGAAGACTGTCAAGTATGCCAGCTATTCCAGCAATGAGCAGAGGTCCTCCCCATGCATACAGCTGATATAATCTCAGTCGAAATGTCTCCTGCCCCTTGTCCAAACTTGTGGGCCTCAGATCCCTGTAACAAAACATGTTATAATAATATACTTGTTCCATGGACTCAGACTCCACTCCAATTTTGAGATATGAGATGTTCAAAGCAGTGAAAATATAGATTGCAGCCTCCTTGGTTGTCTGCAAGCCATTTTAGTACTTTACTGCAAAGTATGTGTACAAAGACAGAATCAGAATAATGCTGAGTTGTACACAGAAGAATATCACTGGTGTCATGCATGACAACTTCCATTTCAAGATGTCACCTTTCGTCTGATTATCCATGGATTACCCAGGGAATGCATTACAGCATCAGGAAAGTACAATCTGTTAAAGTATAATTCTGAATTGCATTCTTTTTTATTTTGCTTCTTTTCGTTTTATAATATGTACAGAAAGAATTGGGAGTTCTCTTTAACATCCTTTAACACATTACACAATTCTCACTTCCATATAAATGTGTGGGACTGCCATCACTTTGTACAATTTGATATCTTTCTCATTTCTTATCTACTTGTTATTTTAATATTCTGTTTGCTGTCCCACATACTTTTTGATATTTACATACTGTGACACTGTAACTGAAGACAGAGTAGTTACTAGGTTACGGCACAGTACACAACTGCACATGCAACAGACGAATGTGCAAGATATATATCTTACAACGTGAATATTATATATATATATATATATCCAAATTTTTATGTTTTTAGACAGCAGATGAGAAGACAAAAATGTTCTGGACTGAATGGTAGCAAGCATTACCTGACTTCAATCTCCTCTTAATTTCCTCCTGAATCAGGTTTTGATCTGTTACTGTCGTTCCCAAATATTTGAAATGTGCCACATTTTCAAAGGAATGTTACCTATGTTTATGTCATGACTTTGTTCTATTTTCTGGTGTTAATACATTTACTGCTAGACCAACCTCCTTACTAGCGTTGATTAAAAGTTCCTGTGTTCTTCTTTAAGGTATCTATGTTATCTCGCAGTAGATTCGCATCAGCAGCATAGACCAGCAACTGATGTGTCCCTTTTAATTTCAGTCCCACCTGGTTTTCCTGGACCTTCCTAATGGCATATTATAAAGAAAAGTTGAAAAGCAGTGGCAATAAAGCACCTCCTTGTTTTAGACCATTTTGGATAGGAAAAATATCGGAGAAACAAGTTCTAGTTCCTTGTAGAAGCTACTCTTCATATCATCAGTTTTATCCTCTGCCGGGGCACGAACGTTCTGAACAATGATGTCACACCATCGACCTTAGTATTGTGTATGGCATCCTATCGCTAACAAACTCTGCCTTTTTAAATGCTGATATGATTCTCTGATGTACAAAAAAATGTGTACCTAATTCACGATTTCTCATTCCGCCTTCCACAGCGATATGGATGTTCGCCCGGTGGGTCAGTACCAGCCCTGTCCCATCTCCCACTAGATCTAATGTACTTTGTGATCATGCTATGTTGAAAACGATCACCAAAATCACGCATAACTGAGTGGGAGATCGCTTGGGAACACAGTCACACATATTCTAACGTGTCATTGCGCCTTCATGGGGCGCATCTCTGCAAACACGTAAAAACCGAACAGCGAACGCTTTCAGTTCTAGAATTCCACTGAGCAAGACAGCGGCTGTTTTATGCAGATGGGTGTGTAGACAGAAGTCGAAATCCCTTTGTTTGGGAACGTTTCCAAAATCCCATAAACACCAATTTTGTCTCCTGAACCCCAAACAAATAACAGCATATGGATCTTGTTGGGGAGAGATAAAGCCTGACAGCTCCATAACCTGTAATCCGAGCCTTACTTGAAACCCCTTTCTCGCAGGCATTCGGTATCACCGCCCGACTGTTTGTCTTTCTCGCGACCTTGCTGCGGGCCATACCTTCCTCCTCGCCTGGGACCATTGTCCCGAGAGGTGCTTGCTGTCCATGAGAAAGCAGCACAGTTGCGTGCAGGCAAATTCCAGTTCTACTCTAAAAGGACTTAATGTAGCAGAACTTCGAGATACCATTTTTGCACGCAGCTGTTTCATTTTCGTTTCCCTCAAGACTACAGCTTCCAAATCTAGGGTCCATCGTTTGTCGGTGATATGTTTGTATCCTCAACCACCGTTCCTTTCGTTGGGATACTGTTTATAAAGCCATGTTACATTTTCCGGATTTCTCATGTAGTCTACAGATCCTGAAAATAAAACTTAAAAAATGTCTGTAAAACGACGTTTGGGCCGTTTGCCGTTATTTTCGTGACGATACCACCTATGCTCTCTTATTTAGGATGACGGTCTCTTTAAATTACTGGAATGTAATTACAATCTTTCGAAGCGTTTTTGAGAAAAGCGACATTTTGTGTTTCAGCTGCTACAGGGAGCACCGCTACTTTTCTGATGATACCCACGTATGCAGTTGTATTTAGGGACAGCATAATTCACAGATTACTGAAACTCAACTAATCCTCTGCGCCATTTTCGAGAAGATCGTAATTTTGTGTTAGGAGTAATCTGTGAAGGTTTCCTATTTTTGGAGGCTTTATCAGTATTCACAGGCCACTGGCCTATGATGGATAATCTCTTAAATACAGAATAAGAATTCAATCCAGCAATTCACACAGACACAAGCGGAGAGAGACGGTATTCCAAAAACCGCTTATCGTATTCACAGGCACTGAAAGTCAAAGTCTGGAGCTAGCTTTTTTCCTCATGATCCAGTACTTTCCCACATACACGTACATATACTGCATATGTGGCAAAGTAAAAATAGTCAGGATATCATGTAACATATACACAGAGATAATACAAACAGGTAAGTGTAGCGCGTGAGATGGTCCGCAGGGCCAGGAAGGCTTGCTCAAGTGGTCTTCCGGTTCCAAAGGTCGGGAGACACTGCTCCAGGCCACAGTTCGCAGATCGCATGAGGCTAAGCAAATGTTGCAGCTTCTGATGACCACGTCACATCACGACAAATGCGCGTTTCCGTATTTCAAGCGTTAACCGGTTAAATATTTATCTGATAGAAAATGTTTCTAACAAACGTCGCAGAGAGAAATATCCAGTAAACATTTGTCTCAGGTCCTGCGGTTTTCGAGATTAAATTAAACACAAGGCATTCTGTGCATACAGCACTGATCTCCCGAACGTCCACAAGAAAAATGCACTTAATGAAAAGGAATTTTTGTTGATTCAGATTCAGTTAACATCGAATCGGTTTATTCTTTCGGCGAAGTGTTACACTGCGATACTTACAGAAGACAGATTATCCTTCTAAAGAAAGTTCCGATAGGAACTGGCTGCAATTATCAGCACCAAGCACTGCCACCAACATGAATAACTTCCCCTGGTTTCTTGCTAGTCAGAAGATGCGAATAATGCTATTTGGCTATTTGTGTCGTTTCGGCACTACCTTCATCACATCACATCGCTTCACATACGTTAAAAAGGATTAAACATACACATTTTGTCCTCGTTTCTTTATTTCTCTCTCTCCCTCTACTTCCCACATGTTTTGTGTGTGCACACTTCCATTGCCTTCTTGGGTACCCTATGTCTCACCTCTTCACCTCATTGCAGGAGTACACCACATGAACTCTCACGCATTTTGACAATTCTGTTCGATGGCCTCTGAACACAGCCGTCTTATTAGCTTCCTGGATTTTAGGTCATTTTTACGTACATATTTGTACCCAGAAGCTGGAGGTAAAATATCCCTGTAACAGGCCATGGAGGCCCACAGGGCTGTCAGACGTCGAGGTTCTCACATTTTCTCTAAACAATCTGCTCACAGACGGCGATAAGGTTGTCAGCCTTACGCGCCGGCCGGCCTTTAACCCTTAGCAAGATTACTGGTACTCATTTTTGTTAGAGGCTGAGTCGAACCCAGAGCCATAGTGCGGCTTGAAGGATTAAGTAAATTGAAAAAGTCCGCCTCGGGACTCGAACCCGCGACCTTCTGGCTTGTATGACAGGGCCTCCATCAACTACGTTACCGAGTGCCACCCAAGCTGGAGGTATATATCCAGGAAGTGAGAAATCCACATACATCTATGCGGTTAGCATTCTTACAGCAGATACTGCCCTCGACCGTTGCATCCTACGGCAGAAGTAAAATGAGAATTAAATTCCATCAAATGCAACAATGTTTTAATAATAAAATGAATCGTCGCAAAAACACACACCCACAACCCCGGCCGCACCCCCACACGACCTGCTATGAAGGAACAAGGCCTTCACACCAAGATTCTACTCAATCGAAATTTCTATTACTTAAAAAAAAAATATATTTTAAATGCTACTGTTTTAACCCTTACAAAAAACATACGAAGTCTGCAATAAAGTTCGCGAACTACCACCAAGTGCTTCCCGTGGCAGAAGTGGACAGAAACCTCAGTATGGTTTGATGACGCTGGCATAGCAGCGTTTCTCAGCTGTGTTGTTCTTGTTCTTGTTCTTGTTCTTGTTGATGATGGTGGTGGTGGTGGTGGTGATGATGATGATGATGATGATGATCTATGGCAGTCTCTTTCTATGTGGCGTCTATTATTGTCCGAGTGTGTTTTGGTGTGCCGTTGCCAGAATGTCGGAGCTTGAATTAGAGCACTGTCAGTGAGGAAGTGATTAGCTAGTAAACAAATAACTGTCCTGGGACACCCTCCCTATTCAGCGGATCTAGCCCCAGTAACTTTTTTCTATCCCCGAAGAAAAAGGAAATATTGAAATGAAGGCATTTTGATGACACTGATGACATCAGGAGTAATACGACGGCAGCTCTGAAGGCCATTCCACAAAACCAGTTCCAAAATTGTTCTGAAGGGTGCACTAGGCGCTGGTATCGGTGCATAGTTTCCGAAGGTGAGTACTCTGAAGGCAACCACAGTGATATACAGCGATGAGTTCTCGAACTTTATTGTCAAACTATGTAAATATTATGTGGGCAGAATGCAGAGCGTTTATAAAGCAGGTGGTGGTAAAAAGTAAAGTAAAGCAAAAGTACAGCTGTCCCTGTACCAGGTCGTAAAGGGCCATAGGGTTGTGAGACGTTGAGGGTCTCACAGTATCTAGACAATCGGCTCAAAGATGGCGGTAAGGTTGCCAGCCTTACGCGTCGGCCGCGCTTTACTCCCCAGGAAAATTATTTAAGCAGGTGGTGGTACATACAGCAACAACTGTGCACACTTTTTCTGTTTTCTTTCAGTGTATATAAAATTGAATATATTTATGTTATTTCTATGTATATAGTAACAGTGGAAAGGAAGCCGTAACCCCGATCGTTTACTCATTCAGTACTTGCCTACATTTTTAACTTCTAGCCAATGTGAATAAGTTTCAACCGACACCGAACAGTTACATGTGAATTTAATCTTTGTATATTATACGTCGTATTATACGAGTGGGGCACGCGGCAGCGTAATTGGCTTAGGCAGTACGCTACAAGCCGGTAGGTCGCGGGTTCGATTCCCGATGAGGACACTGAATTTTTCAATTGACCTAATCCTTCCAGCCTCACTATGGTCCTGGGTCGACTCAGTCTCTAACAGAAATGAGTACCAGGTATCTTCTTGGGGGGTAAAGAGCGGCCGGCGCGTAAGGCTGACAATTTCTGTGAGCTGATGGTCTAGAGAATGTGGGAGCCTCGACGTCTCAAAACCTTATAAGGCTCCACGTCCTGTTACAGGAATAGCTTTGCCCTTTTTATTATGCGAGTTCGTCGTAGTCTTAATTATGCAGTTTACTTAAAATTATGCACTTCCAGAATTGCATGAGGACTTCACTTTCCTTTCGCATGAGCTACAAATCAAGATCGTGTCGTCTGAAATTCACTGGCGAACGTGTCCCTTAAGTCTACACACGCAATATATCCTGACTGAAGTCTACCGACGTTTCTGAGCGACGTTCTGCCTCCATCTTCAGGGTCGAAGAGCAAGCCAAGAACAATCAAGAAGCAAGCGGCGTGCTAGGCGGTGCCTCGAACCTCTCCACGCGCGATCTGCGCGCACCTGCGATGTTATCGCGTGGCCTCACTGTCGGGGTGAAGATAACGCCCGCAGCAGTAACTGGGAAAGCAGCGAAATTGCTGAAGTTCAAATTGCGGGAAAACTAGTGTCCTGTCTGCTGAAACATAAATGGGCCCTCTCCCCCCCCTCTCTGTTTCTACCGGCACATCCGTACAGCCCAAGTGCAGACGGAGTAAAGTTGGGCCTGTGCTTAATTAACTAAACACATACAGGAAGTGGAGGTACTACCAGTGCCTCGGTACTGGATGGAGGTGAATGGTCAGGTTCATGCCCGACCGCTCTACCCCCGGGGAAAGAGACCCCGTTACCTATTGGATAGGAGGATGAGTGGCCTCCAGAGAAGGTCTGAACGCTGTGAAAACGAAGTATCTTGCAGGGAATCGAACCCCGGCCGTCAAGCCCGTCGCTATGTCGACTGAGCTATCACCACATCTTAAACTGTAATTGTATTTGCATTGTATTCATTGCGTGTAGTGTCCTTTAGTGTTTGTGTACTATTTTTCCTTTGAGTGTGGTGTGTTACTGTAGTACCACTGCCAGCGGGTAAACCCCCATTTGCAACCAATATAAATAAAATAATAACAAATGGGGAGGGACTATATGTATGTGAAATTCGATGTGAGTGTCACGTCTTCTCATATCATATCTTTGGTCAGTTCTGACTTTCAGCACAGAACCTTCAAACGTTGTACCTTCTGTTTAGAAAGTGACGTAATAATGAAGACTGCTGCATTTCGTCATTTGCTTTCGATTTCGTGTGGCTAACTTATGAACCATTTTTGCTGGCTCGTGAAAATTTATATGCTGAAAGATTAATTCTGTCATCAACAGGTTTATTCTTGGAAAGAGGTACGTGAAATGCCCGACTTCCCATCTAACAACAGCCACTTACTGCGTAACTGGAAGATTCCTATGAATTCCGTTCAGGGATCGGTAAAAACAAGTTTTACAAAATAAAGACGACAACTTCATATGGAATTTCCCTTCTAGTGTCGCCACTAAAATTTAATGCAGCCATATTGAACCTTATTACCGTTTACAACTTGATCAAGAGACAAAATTTCAGACTTGAACAGGAATCGACCTGAGGATCAACGATCGGGGAACGCTGCCGCAAAGCTTTATCCTAACACATCGATACTTGGGACGTTCTGGTCGAGAATATGTTACAGCTAAAGGGATACTGTCGAGTGGTGTTCGCTATCGAGCCTATCGATCCCACTTCTGAGACGCCAGAACTAATGGACGCGCGCGACAAAGAGCGACTAGTCGCGTCAGTGGATTTTCAGCCTAACGCGACAAGAAAATTCACGCGGGTCTCGGATTTGGCTAAGACATTTATTGGACGATCTCTTTTACACTTACAAGTACATTCATCATCCACTTAGAGCGTCGTCAGACGTTCTTACAGCACTGTTATAATTCCTTCTTGCACCGCTAATCTCGGTGAATTCTTCTGTCCCCTTGCTTGCTTCTGCTCCACTCGGAGCTACACCAAGACTCTATGAACTGAATAACTTGCACGCGGACTCGATAGAGAACACCATGTCGAAGGGTTAACCTCGGCTGCTGCTATGCGAAAGCTGCTTTCAACAATTCGTGTGTAACGGTGGAACCTACTGTTAGATTGCTAGCCGTTGTATAGCAATGGATGCGTTCCGATTGTAGCGCTGTAGCGGGAACGTCGCTTGTTGCCTAGGAAATCAACCATCATCTCCTCAAACCTTTACGGCTTTCTAGCGGCACGCCACAATATTGTAACATGTATATCTGTTCACAGGAAGAAAAATTATTGGCCAACCAGAGGCAAATGGATTTCCATTGCTAGGCAACGGACCTGTAAACAACCTTCAGCTGGGTACGTTACAATATCAGACGTCTACTATTAGGCAACGAGAAGTAAACAAGTTTCGTCAATAATACAGGCCACGGACCACATAGAAAACACGGCTCGCTCTACTTCATACTGCACCAGGCTATGAATACTATAAAGGGGAGCGGACGTATAGCTCCATGCATTCTTAACCTTAATACTGTACTGAACTTCACGTTCCGGCCGCCTTACCCCGGGGAAAGAGCCCCTGGTACCCATTGGATAGGAGTGAAAATTCTTGACCCTACGGAAACTCGAACTCCGATCCTCTGTCGTCCAGCCCGTAGCTAGTCACTATACCGACTACGCTATCCCAGCTCGTAGGCGTCCGACACATGAACCAGAGCAAAACAAGTCATAAAACGGTGCCCACAAAGGTTTATGTTGGTGGGAAATGGAAACGCTTAAACGAGAATTTCTTAAAGTGGGTTAAATGCCTTGGCTTTATTATATCAGCAGAGCGGGCCCACGACTGGTCAACATGGTGTGCACTTGTTCTATTTCGGGTCTCCATAAGCGAAGTGGCAAGTACTCATATGAATTATTAACTACTCATAAATTTCCATCAGAGATCAGAATCTTATCATGTTGTATGCTTGTGGTCCGGTAAGCCTAAATACGCCAACAGCTGACGGCTGTTATTTCGTAAAGACTGGTAACGCCAAGGCCACGATAATGCAGTCAGCAAATTAGCCTGTATTCAAAAACATCCGGAAGTCGATGGCAAAAATAACTGATCTTAAAATAAATATATGTGGACGTCGAGGCTCCCACATTTGGCATAGACAATCCTCTCACAGGCGGCGGTGAGGTTGTCAGCCTTACGCGCCGGCCGCCCTTTTCCCTTAGGAAGATTCCTGGTACTCATTTTTGTTAGAGCTGTGTCGACCCCAGGACCATAGTGCGGATGGAAGGATTAGGTCAATTACAAAATTCACCTCATAGGGACTCGAACCCACGACCTTTAGGTTATCAGTATAGTGCCTCAACCAACTACGGTACGGCGTGCCCTCTAGCTTTACTGTGACGACTGAAATTCAGAATAATCACAGATCACCATCACAGAATTACTCTTGACCAAAAATCCGAATGACTGCTTTCGGGCGTCACCAAAATTTTACTTTCAGGTCTTGTGTAAACCCTGAACATCCAAACTATACGACCAAAACATGCGAAGAACATATACTCGTGATTGGGGTTAGTTCTTTCTCACGGACCAAGAGAATATGCGTCTCTCCCCCTTCGCCTGGGGACGGAAACAGGTCCAGTTTCCGAAACGTCGTGTTCTCTAGTGTCTGCTAGAACAGAGGACGGTGCACAAAGTGCAAAATCCCGGTAATTCCGAGTGTTATACATCTTCGTCAGAACCCTTTAGCACTTACAGGTGGCATACTGTCCCCATAAATTGCTTCTAAGACGCTTAATTCAACCAATCACGGCCTTTGGAAGTGCAGTGACACTTCTGCGAAATCGCGAAACGACAACAGAGTGTAAGAAGAAAAGAATATGTGTTCAGCATAGAGGGCGCGGGTCACATCCAGCCCAGAGTGCCCCCCCCCCTCTGCAGTGTACGCCAGTGGTTCTCAGCCTCTGTGAGCCCGCAGCCGCGGCCCAACTGACCCTGCCTATAACCGGCATTGCATTTGGCACAGTACCTGAAGGTCCACCAGATGTTGAAGCACATGGTGTTCAGCCAGAAGAATGCCGCCAGAAAGAGGAAATGCATGCACACGGCTGAAACAAAAGAAACAATGATTTTATTAGTTTTAAAATTGGTGAAAATAAGATTGCACGTTCCCCAGTCGCTCATAATGAAAACATACAAACCATTTCCTGACCAGCCTTGTCAATTTCCGTTTCCTTGAAATATTTAAAGACGCTTCTATCATCGGATGGTGGGATAACTAACAAATGTCGAACTGTGAAGTATCTAGAAGGAAACGGTCGTACTACACCATGACTTGGAGGACCCGAGCAAACCCACGGAAAAAACACAGAATAAGTCAGTGTCCCTACTGAGAATCGAACCGAGAACCTACCAAATACAATCCTCAGGTAATGATCATGATCAACAGTCGGTGGAATGAGAACTGGCAAGGGGAAACCGAAGAACTCGCAGAAAACCTGCTCCAGTGCCACTGTCTCCACCACAAATCCCGCGCGACCTAACATGGGATCGAACTCGGGCCACCGCGGTGGGAAGCCGGCGACTAACCGTCTGGCACGGGCTCAGTCTACATCCTACTTCTAGAAGAACCTGTTCGGTGGCCTTGCAGAGAACTGAGGTCACCGTGAACAGAACTGGAGCTCGACGCACCGGCGTCACATCCGGTGCAAGTACATGAAACCCATCTTTAGACAAACAGTTCTTGTTTCAAAGGCTATTCATGTAATGACTTACGTTAGTTAGTTAGTTAGTTATTGGAGAGGGTGGGTTTCCCCATGCACTGAGACCAGTATTGGTCCATTGTGCTTCCCTGTATGATATTCTACCAGTCTCTATACCCTACCGATATTGGTGCGTACCATCAGTCCCGACCGAGCCAGCGAGTTCGGCCTCTACTGGCTTGGCGGTATCTATAATGCTTCCCCCATCTATCAGAGGCGTTAGAGACTACTGTTGGGCGGGAAATGTCCTTGAATTTAGCTCAGTGACCTCCTTTGGAGATATGAGGTTCTTTTACGTGCCGTAAAGCTACGACACGGGACCCACGGCTTAAAGTTCCTCCCGGAGGACTTGTTCCCTGAATTTTCCGCCCTTAAAAATTCCACTACCTCCGCCGGGTTTGAACCCGCGTACCACGAGTCATGAGGTGGGAACGTTACCTCTAGACTACGGAGGCCGCTATGACTTACGTTACTTCGATGTATCAGGCAGCATCCCACGTGCTTCGAGGAAAACCAAGGAACTGGATTTCTGATGGCTGTTTCCCACAGGGGCAGCCGGAACAGCTCAGTCGGTGTAACGACGGGCTACGGGGTGGGCGTTTCGCGACAGGCGCATTAGAATGTTCCCTACTCGACAGCGTCCAGGCAGGTAAAGAGGCCGGAACATGAGGCACACCTCCACTCGCCCCATTTTCTTCATGGCGTGCGTAGTGCTGAATGCACAGCACTTCAAGTACAAAGTACATCGGCTCGTACAGTTCGAGCAGGGAGCAGCTACTCCCGCTTTTCTCACACGTGTTTCCCTTCATATGGCGTCTCCACCTTACCGTGGTGGTGGGGTTTGGGTGCTCCTGAGACCTCGAGAGCTATGCCGGCTGTAGCGTAGCTACTGGTAGGGTCACCCATGCAGGAGAGGTCAAGGGGTAGGAGACNGGATATCCTGGTTCTCAAGGTTTGGGGTTGGGCGTGAGGCTAACAACCTCACACCGTAGAAACCAAACTGTTCAGAAACCGAATAATCAGCCTCTAAAATAAAATATATAGGGCAAGGGACAGGAAGACCCAGGTTGAGATGGTTGGAGGATGTGCATGGTCTCCGTGAAATGAAAGTGACAGGATGGGGAGGAAAGATGGAGGCAGAGTGTTCAGGAGGCCAGAGCTCACCTGAACTGTAGAGTCAAGAGCCGAGGGGAAGGAATGCTTTTATATGTTTTCATTTGCATGTATGACAATAAAATACAGGACCTTTTCATTTTTGCCAGCATACATCCATTTTATACTCCTCAGTGCACACAGTAATGTCCAGGGAGGTTGGGTTTTCATGTTAAGATCTAGTTGGCTGCTACTTCAAAGGCAGCAAAACAACAATTGCAAACATGAGTTGATGCGACGATAGCCGCAGACTGGCATCACGCCACAATAAAATGACGTCAGAGATGGAGAACTCAACTGGGGCAATCCAGTTAGTTGAGGGTTGTCAGTTCAGTTGAGCTCTTCAAGGGAGCTATAGTTAAGAGTTGAAATTCTGGCTCTGAAGTGTTGTAATTACCTGTGGTTCCGAGTTATGCCAATAAAGCCGGTATCCAATCCATACCCCGTCTTTTTTTTTCCTTGGCACTACAGCCCCAGTGGGCCTAGGCCTACCTCCGTGAACTTCTCCGTTCACTTCGGTGTTTCTAGATCTTAGACATACGGTAGGACTCCTTGGGCAGGTGATCAGCTCGTCGCAGGGCCTCTACCTGTACACAAACACAGAAAAACGCACACAAACATCCATGCCCTGAGTGGGATTCGAACCCACGATCCCGGCTTCCGAGCGAGCGAAGACAGTGCACGCCTTAGACCGCTCGGCTACCGTGACCGGCCCATACCCCGTCTACAGTCACATAAATTGTTTCGGCCTCACTCAGCTATTATCACGTGTTACACTATTACTAAAACTGCTGCACTGTATGTCGCGTGTGCACGCGTTGCTATTTTTATTTTAATATATTTAAGATCACCAGATAATGGCCGAGTGAGACCAAAGCAAATTTTGATAAAATACTAGTATATGAATGACACAAATAAGCACTGCATTTAAGATGGTTCTTACACGCATGTACAAAAGGCAACATGGCAAGTGCAAGCAGATGCTTAAGTAAAGGACTGCACCTGCAACTAAGGACGCGACACTTTCGAAAGACGGAATATCGTTGAATGGACGGCGGAAGATGGCATTACAATTCTTAGTTACATAACTGAAATGCAGTGGTCTGGTTTACGAATAAGTGCAACCGACGTGACAAAATGTTTCACACTGCAAAGAGAAAATAATCCTTTAATAACGTAACCGAGTTTGTGCTCCATTTGCGACGATGAATCCGACTGAAATGTGTAAAAAGTTCTCAAAAATGATCTTCAGACATTTGCCATGTAACAGCGACTGAAAATTGCATTTAAATATAAGTACTCAGGCATAAATCGACCTGTGGTGAAGTTACGCGGTAACGCAGTTGGTTGAGGCACTGTGCTACAAGCCGGAAGGTCGCTGGTTTAATTCCCGATGAGTTCATTGGGTTTCTCAATTAACCTAATCCTTCAAGCCGCACTATGGTCCTGGGGTCGACTCAGCTTCTAAGAGAAATGATCACCAGGAATCTTCCTGGAGCGTAAAGGGCGGCCGGCGCGTAAGACTGACAACCTTACCGCCATCTGTGAGCCGACTGTCTAGAAAAAGTGGGAACCTCGACGTCTCACAACCCTATGGGCCTTCATGCTCTGTTACAGGGATAGCTTTACCGTTTTACCTTTATGGTGGACCTACCCCGATGGCACTCCTAAACTAAATAAACGTTTCTTTGATACAACAGTGTATGTCACTGAGCAGCTGTTCTGTGTAGCTGCGTATGGTCTTCCCTTGAAAATGAAGTCACTTTGGGGCTCACCCTTACTGCTGAGAAACTGGCTGTGTTTCCTCTACAGTGGAAACTGCCTGAAACTGATTCAGTAACTGCTCTGTCAAGCTGAGAGTGAATTCGAGGAGTTCTAAAGGTGAGTGAATGCAAATAGAACCCCCGATCCAGCATTTCTCCCACTGCAGCACAACTGGAAGCAGACTTCCTTTCAAGTTGTTTCTTCATCATGGCTCAAAATTATGTACATGCACAGAGCACAATTAATTCTGTCCAGAAGCCTTCCTAAGTGAAAACATTGCCAACTGTTAATATCTGGTAAGAGAGGAAGATAAATGTTTATTCTTTTATTCTGCTGTACATTAATTTAACAGATATATTAGACTGGACTGCCTAATAACAACTCTTAAAGCAACAAACGAACAAAGATATATTTAAGACACCGATCATAAATTTACTTTACAATAGAAAAAAGTGTAAGCAACTCGAACGAGAACTGCGCCGTACAGTACTCGTGTCGCAGGCTGTCCGTGCCAAGGGAGCCTGGTTCCTACAACACAATTTCATGAAGCAGTATGCCTTCTCTGCCAGCAGTCTTGTGGAAACTGCACACCTCTACGCTTCTTTAACGTGATTAGATGCGCAACTTCTCGACGTCGTTAATTGGACCATTTAACTCCAAGTAATTAGCTAAGCCAATAGACATAATGCGGCGTACAGACCCGTTGCTAAGTAACGCCCGCAACTACGAGTATAGAAGAACTGTGTTTGTAGTCCGTAACGAGATGTTACAGCCGGGAGGTCTGGGGCTTAGTCAGTAGATAACCCAGTGCCTGGGGCGTACAACTGGGCTACCCTGTCACTGGGAGTTTATAAATACAGGGACCTGGCGCTCCAGGTTGGGGGAGACAGTAAAGTGTGGTCGTGAGTCCCACGGGACTCGGGCTTGAGAACAACTGCGCTGGAGAGGAGCAGCAACTGCAAACGACAGTTCCATCCTTTCGTGGGCGAGGATGTTATATAAGGACTATGATCGCAATGGTTCAGTTGAAGAAATATCGCTGGTCGTGAGTCTCAAGGGGCTTGAGGCCAAGACGAACTAATTCCCCGTTAACCCCCAGTCGTAAAGTAACACTGACACTCCCTAAATACTTAGTTCCGTATGGGAGTCTGTGAAGAGAGTACTTGAGCCGAAGGCAGAAGAATTGCCACTGTCAAGAACCGTTACCGGAAAATGACTAATGAAAGCAGACTAAGCGGGCTTAGCGTGTCTCTCAGTGATTTGCGAAGTGTGGAGATTATCAAGACCGTTGTAATTACGAGTCGCGAGTGAAAGTGGTAAATAAATCCATCCTCTAACCCCAACCCCGTCTATAGTCTCACGCACACTACGTGACAATACTAAACTGAACTATTTGCATCTGTTGAAGGTGCTAGCTGCACCACTCAGCT